GAGAGAAACATAAGAGTTGATGGGTTAAAATTGCACTTTTTAAAATTGCACTCTTTACTAGTGGAGCCTGTTTTCAAAGCACGTAGTAAATGAAACAGAAAGTCCCATGCAAACGTACTGTGAAGTAAACGAAGAGTCAATTTGTAAAGAAACGAGGCGCTTACTCTCTGTTTCCCATAAAGATATCTTAATCATGCAACAAGGCTAAAAATAAGATACAGAAACTACATCCAACAGTTGTGAAGTAAACGTTGGGTCCTGGCAAACATTTCTAGAGGATAAAGAGAGTGAGTGAGTGAGAGAGAGAGAGAGAGAGAGAAATAATGGGCTCTAAGATGATGAAGAAGGAAGAAGATAATTTTACCGACTTGGTTTTCTCTTGGTCCATACCTGATTTAATGAACCAACATCTTTACAAGGACAAGGTAATCTTATCAACATTCTATCTAATTGCATTCTTAATTTCTTAAAAGGTTATGCTTAAATCTTGTTTACCGTATTTATAGGTACTAAGATAAGATGTTTTGCTAATTAAGCGAAAAAAATTGCCATTTGTCTGCTTCTGTCCAGAGAAGAACTTAAGAATTGCTCAATTTTTTTTTGTACTAATCATTGGCAGGTAAATCCGATACCGGACACTTTCACCACAGCACGACAGTACCTGAACTCGTTTATCGACCCGCTTATCGAAGAGACACATGCCGACCTGCATTCGAGCCTGATGGGTTTGCATTCGGCACCATTGTGCGAAATATCCGATGTGAAAAAGGGCAAAAAATTCAATCCTCCCAAGACCTTGGTGTACTCTATTACAACCTTGAAAAAAGCTGACCAAAAAGCAAGGACTACGTACGAGCCTCAGTGTGGGGATTTGTTTGCTCTAACAGAGGTCAGACCAAAGTGTGTCGACGACTTGAACGGGCGTCAAATGTCTTATGTTATTGCTTTAGTTAATGTCGTAAAGGAAGACGAGATCACTATACTCTCCTCCAAACCTATTGCTTTTGAAAAAGCAGATGAGGAAAATGGCAAGAAGGGGCCCCCACTCTTTGCTGTGTATCTTGCAAACTTGACGACAAACCGGCGCATATGGAACGCGCTGCATCCGGACGAAGGAGCAAATATGAAAATCATTGAATCCGTCCTCAAAGTTTATCCAACAGTAAGCAAATCAAATTCAAATGAACTGTATATACATCTCTTCAATTTATGCAAAGGAGTAAATTGTCAGAACCTCCATCTTAATCTGCGTGTTTGTTGTTTTCCCTTGGTGTATATATTAATAAATATCCACACAACATTATCAAAGAGTAGAGTCCTCTCTTGTTTCTTTACACCTTACAACAATAACATTATCACTATATATAAACTGTGCAGACAAAAGATAAATGTCCCATTTGCCCCTCAATGATGGCAATAACTGCTGCTGCTGACTTGCACGGTCTCAACGACTCCCAACGAGAAGCCGTCATCGACAGCCTGGCGCTGGCACAATGCGGTCACCGGATCACAGTGAAGCTGATGTGGGGCCCACCAGGGACCGGGAAGACTAAAACGGTCGCCACCCTCGTATCCGCCCTGCTCAAAACAAGACACAGGACATTAGCCTGTGCGCCTACGAACATAGCTATTATCGGAGTCGCAAAGAGGCTGGTGACCTGTCTGCTTGGGATAAATTCAATTCCAGCTGGGCATGACACGTACGGACTCGGGGACGTGATCCTGTTCGGAAACGGGAAAAGAATGAAAATAGACGAGCACGAGGAGCTGCATGATGTATTTCTTGATGACCGTGTGTCCGTATTGGCTAAATGTTTTGCCCCGATAACGGGATGGAAGGGCAGCCTGAATGAGATGATCAACCTACTTGCGGACCCCATTGGCCAGTACCAAAGGTACCGAGATGGCGGAAGTGATGATGAAGAGGATGATGCATCCAAGCCATCGAGCGGGTGGTTGAGTTGGTTTTGGAGGAAGTTAATCATTCAAGATGTGAAGGAAATGAAGAAGAAGATTCCGCGACCCCAGAAAGTCGATGCACAGTACTGGACATTCGAGGAATTTGTTACAAATACATTTATAGCCGTTCGAGATCGTCTAATCGATTGTGAAGCTGGGCTGTCCACTCATCTCCCTACTTCATGTCTTTCATTGGAAATTCTTAAGAAGATGATTGAAGTCCTCGACATGCTCAGATTGTTTGAAACTCACCTGCTTATAAATGCGGGTTTTGGCAACAATCTTCATTTTGAGCAAGCTTTGGTCGGATCAGAAAATGCTACTTTGTGTAAGATAAGGCTAGAGTGCCTGAATGGACTGAGATTCCTCAGAGAAAAATTCCAGGTCCCTCTACTTCAAGAATATTTTGCAATCAAGCAGTTTTGCCTGCAAAATGCGTGCTTAATTTTTTGCACCGTCTCGAGCTCAGCCAAGTTGCACACGGAGGGAATGACACCATTAGAGCTTGTGATAATAGATGAGGCTGCACAGCTCAAAGAGTGTGAATCGTGTATTCCCTTGCAGCTTAACGGAGTCCGACATGCCATTCTCGTTGGTGACGAGAAACAACTTCCTGCAATGGTCATCAGCAAGGTTTGAACTCTTTTCATGTAACAGATGTTCCTTTGATCAAGTTTTCATTTTTTTTTTAATTTTTCTCTCCCATTGATAAATTTCTTGTCTGGAAATGACAGATCTGTGAGAAAGCTGCCTTCGGGAGGAGTTTATTCGAGAGGCTTGTGATGTTAGGACACGGCAAGCACCTGCTCAACGTACAGTACCGAATGCATCCCTCCATAAGTTTGTTCCCTAATAAGGAGTTCTATGCGAAACAGATTAGCGACGGCCTAAATGTCACTGGAAAAGCTTATGAAAAGCGGTTTTTGAAAGAAAAGCTGTTTGGTTCATATTCTTTCATTAACGTGACACACGGGAAAGAGGAGTTTGACAGTCGGCATAGCCGGAAAAACGTAGCCGAGGTGTCTGTGGTGGCCCAGATAGTCTCCAGACTCAGTAAAGGCATGCATTATCTGAAATTTTTGAAAACTTCACAATTTCAGGTCAACATTTTTTTTTTATTCTTTATGCAGAATGTATCAATTCAAAGCAAAAGGTCAGAGTAGGTTGCCTGTCTCCATACAAAGGCCAGGTGTTTGCAATTCAGGAAGCACTTGGAAAGACATACAGCTCGGATCCAAAGCACGATTTTTCGGTTAGCGTGCGCACAGTCGATGGCTTTCAAGGTGGTGAAGAGGATGTGATCATAATCTCGACCGTAAGGTGCAATGGAAATGGATCTGTTGGCTTTCTCGACAATCATAACAGGACGAATGTAGCCTTGACTCGAGCAAGGTAGTTAGTTTGTTAATGGTTTCATGTATAATTACTAATTTGGTCTGAATTTAATTGCATTGAGTGTCTTGGCAGGTACTGTCTGTGGATAATAGGCAATAGCTCCACTCTGTTGAATAGTGGCTCAGTTTGGCAGAAGTTGGTTATAAATGCAAAAAACCGTGGCTGTTTTTATAATGCTTACGAGGACGTGGACTTGTCGATGGCTGTTGGTAATGCCTTAATCGAGCTACGCCAGCTGGATTCGTTGTTTAGTATGGACTCTGTACTGTTCAAAGTGGCTAAGTGGAAGGTATGCTTGCTTTTGAAAACACATTTTGAATATTGTACGCTTTTACTATTCTGGATGAGACAGAGTAATTGCTAAAACGAATGGAAAATAGTATTGACTGCCTAATCATTTCTGTTTCTAATGTATAGGTTTGCTTCAGTCGCGAATTCCATCAGTCGATTACTAGATATCGTGACTTGGGAATCCTCAAAGAAGTGGTAGCTCTACTGGTGAAGCTTTCAAACGGGTGGCGCCAGAAGAACAAAGTCGAGACAGGAGAGGACACTTGTCAGCTTCTGGAACTGTGTGATGTGAAGGGCCCGCTAAAACTGATTTGGACGGTCGATATTCTCAGAGAAGATTCAACCGACACACAAGTCATCAAGATTCTTGATATCCTGCCACAATCCGAGATAGCAGAAATGGCGAAAAAATTCATTGTTATGTCGGAAAATTACACCGTGGGTCAGATGAACCGTTGTCTGTGCAAGCAAACTGATGGGTATGATAAGCTAACTTTTTTTCCTGCCAAAAGCACTAAGTAAGCCCTTTTTTTCGTAGTTCTGTAAAAATGTCATTTACAAATGACACGTGAGTCGATGCAGGGATTTGTTGGTCCCAATGACATGGCCAGTTGATGTGAAGGCGGGAAGTGGTTATTCAAGTAGTGAGCTGGCTACTCAACTAGAAGCTATTGGTTTGAGGGCAAGTGGTTATTCAAGTAGTGAGCTGGCTACTCAACTAGCAGCTATTGGTTTGAGGGATGAGCCAGCTGGATCATTCACTACAAGAAGGTATATTAGTTATAGTTTCTTCAAATATTTTGACTTGCTAGTCTGTTTTATTTTAGGCTGGTGGATAAATTTATTTTGTAAGAGAGAATTGTAATCTTCAATGATCATTGTGCTGTTATTGGTAAATTTTGCTTCCTTATGAATAACAGGAAAGAAAAAACTATGGGCTTGATGAGACTTTTATTAATTTGATTTTCTCTTCACCACAGGAATAGTAAGAGTACTTGGAACTTTAGGAAAAATGGCAGGGAAAATAGCAGCCGGAAGTGGAATCATCACGGCTAGATGGAGGTCGACTTATCTCTGCCATTCGTATTGTATAAAGATTCTCTTTTCAGCAGCCTTTTTAGTTCTTTGGTCAAGATGAAATGGCCTGTTAATCCTCAGCAGCAACTTTTTGTTTCTTGTTAGCTGTTACTCATTAAGGATAAATTTTCGCGCTTATAATCTCTCTCCATTTTTTCTTTTCTGTATGATTGGGTTGGGGACCTAAATTAGCTTTTTTATGCCCTCAAAATTTCAGGCGCAACACTTTCATGCAATGCACAGATCCTAATATTATAAGCCACACACGAACTATATTTATTGCATGCTTTTTAAATACTTGATACTTTCTGAATGATGCAGATTGAAGTAAAAGTGCAGATGAATTTCAAGTACTTTCTGAATGATGCAGATTGAAGTAAAAGTGCAGATGAATTTCGTATATGATTAGAACACTGATCAAATGGAGATCACAATGATTGTTTTTGAGATGATGATTATGTAAGACATCTAACAAAGGATATGAATGAAAATAGTCCGGACACAAAATATAATAGTCATGACACACGAAATATAATTACACATACACTAGCATGCGATACAAACTCACTATTTCAGATGTCATCATTTAAATTTAACTATGTAGAGAAAATGAAGGAAATGATAGCAAATAATATGGATATGAGATACTATACCAGGTCGATTTGACCCGAGAAACGGCATGATCAAACAGGCGAATCAGTAGGTCAAACAGAGATTGAAGGCACTACAGATCAAAGTCATCGGGTCGATGAGGACGTCGCGGATCTAAGAAGCACGACAGGTCGAGCTAGGTGTCCTCGGACGGCCTGGTTGAAACTCAACCTGTAGGCACGGGTAGTCGTAGGATCAACAATTCCTACTTTCATGCAATGCACAAATACCAAGCTTCTTCTACATTGTCAGCCCAAACACCATCTGTCTTCCCTTCAAACACCACTATATTGTCTCTTTTGGCTATTCCACCAATTCCTACTTTTCCCATTTGAGAGGTTAGGGCACTGCTGTGAACTCCACTAGTCCTACCCTCGTGGAAAAGTCCTCTCTCTGGTACTCTGTAGGGTTAACAAGCTCAAACTGTAAATGGACAAACAGACTTACAATAAGAAAATTCCACCCAATCTCTCCTGGCCTCTTGAACCACTACTTCTGGTCTGAATGCTATGTTGTTGAAAATGAGGTTGTTCCTCGCTTTCCAGATGCTCCACAATAGACACACAGAAAGGTGCATTATGTTGTTCATGTGTACTGCTGCCTTAAGAGTTACATATGTCTTCCCACCAGTCACTGATCCTCATCCTGTTAACCTTAAAAGCTTCCTATTCAATTCCCAGTAACTTCCAGCATATTTGAACATGAGGGCATTTCATGAACAAGTAAAAACTCTTCAATCGCGGTAAAGTGTAACTTTTGCATGACTTTAATTGTGCCCTGTAGATTGCTTGTACTTATCATACATGATTGTATTTAGGAATTAGGGTGTGATTGGATAAGAATATATGATAAAAAATAATTATTTTTAACTCATATACCTTTTTAACTCAATTTTAATTCAATTTCATTATCCCCATTATTATCAATATAATTAAATAATATCAATCAATTATTTTTACAAATCACATAAACTTTAGTTTATTATTCATTCACTCACATAATTTTAAGTAACCACCATTTTACATTATCTCTCACATATTTTTACATCAAATCAGCTTTAATTATTTTATTTTAAATATTATTTTAATATAAACTCAAAATTTTACTAACAATTAACCCTACCACATTTTTCAAAAAAAATAAAATAAAAAAAATAACTATAATTAACAAAAAAATCAATCAAAACCAAATCAAATACATGTCTAGTCACACCCCTAATCCCTCATTCTAGACTCATAGATGAGTTATGAAACAAATTACCAGTATTGGAAACAGTCACCCCTAATGATTGTGGGTCTAGCATAGGCCTCGAGCTCAAGCCCTTAGCGAGCCGAGTTCAACTGGCTCGTTAAATAAATGAGCTTGAAATCGAGCTCGAGCTTGACTCGTTTATCACTAATAACGAGCCAAGTTCGCGCCTTAACGAGTCGATCACGAGTTTTATCGAGCCGCACTATAGAAAATTATAAAAAATTCTCTTTTCGAGCTTTATAGAGTCAAGCCGAGTTTGGCTCGTTAATTAAATGAACTTTAAATGAGCTCGAGTTCGACTCAAATCTTAACTCTTAACGAGTCGAGCTGAACCGACTCGTTTAATTTATCAACACTAGTCTAACGCTGCAAATAGCCGTCCTAAAAAACCATAAAAGGGATAATGGCCAAATTATTTATTAAGAATTAGATAACGATGCATTAATTCACTAAATCCTTGACCACAGCTGAATTTATTTAATTTATTTTATAAACTATGGTCCAAAATTCCAAATGATGGTGAGCCAAACCCAAGGCCAAAACAGGAAACTGCAACATTACATATGCAGACAACTGGATAATAATTCAATAAAAATAAAATAAAAGACAACTAGACAGTGAAAGGCTTGACCCTTGGGATCTGCATTAATAAAATCACATGGACGTTTTTTTCTCTTTGATTAAATAATAAATATGTTTTCCTTTTTTCATTTTAATAAAAAACCAATTATCCACCTTTATTATTGATTTATTTCTTCCTTTTTCTTTCATCATCAAAATTATTGCCATCTTTTTCTCCCCAAAATGAGCAGTTTCTGCGAGGCTGCATATCGCCCCACCGTTGAAAGTTGCTTCGCTGTCCAGCATCACTGCGTTAAACCTCGCCGTAAGTACATTTCTTGATTTTCTATTTTCTTTGCCAATTTTATTTTGCCCTTCTCACTTCTCCCTCTTTTCTCGTGATTATAATAATGGTGGTTGCATATTTGGTTGGATTTTCTTTGCCCTCTTGCGAGATAAAGGTGACATTTTCATTAATAAATACTAAAATAATGGATGAGCGCCCTTGAATTTTCACCTATTTGACGACGGGTAAAGCCCGATGCGTTTCTAGAAACTGTTGCGAAATTTCAGTTAACGCCTGCCATTTTCTGTCCGCCCCTGGTTTTGCTTGGAGGGAGTGAAATCCGCCCGGTCCCCGGTTGTTCTTGAACAAATCCAGTGCTTCCAGTCGGTAAACCCTCCGTTTCTTGAGTTAATTGACGGGTTTCTTTTCTTTTCCCTCTCCAGTATAATATTGCGAATTCTTCTTTTTATCTCCGGGACAAAGTGAAAACCGGCGATGACGACGGACGACGTCGTTCAGGAGATAATGAGGCTCCACCGGTCGTTGCCTGACCGGCCGGGAATCGAGGAAGTAGAGGCCGCGAGGACCCTAATCCGGAATGTGGAAAGGGAAGATCAGGCTAGGCTTGAAAGTGTCGAGAGGCGAATCAGGGGCAGAGACGTGCCTGAAGAATTGTTCGGGATTCTACAGGAGATGCAGAGGAGCATGATCCATTTCCAGAGCAAGGAGCAGACGAGAGAGGCGCTGAAGCTGTTGGATCTCGAGGGCGTCCACATGGTGTTCGACGATTTGATCCAGAGAGCATCCAGATGCCTTCCGGGATCTTCTGTCCCCGAAGAGCCTGCATCCATCAAGGCCTCCTACGACTCGTCCATCAGCCTCAGCTCGACCATGAATACCTCGACGGCCGCCACGTCAGCATCCTCGTCGTCTTCTTCCAGTTTCTTGAACGACAAGGAGTACCCAAGGTCCTTGGGACCTGGTTTTTCCAAGGATGACTCATATGTGAAGAAAGCAAAGATGGCCTTTCGTGTGGACGGCTTGGAGGTCGGAGCCCGATCAGGAGATGCCTTTGCTATGCCGCGGATCATAGATCCCACTCTTACTAAACCAATTACTACTTCCGGTGAGTTAAACAACTTAATTTTGTAAGTTGGCGTTTTTAAATCATGATATGTGTGTTGGCATGGCTGGTTTTTGTTGTTAAGAATTGGTGAAAATGTTTTTCGGCAGGGCAAGATGGTGAGAAACTGAGCCTGATAAGACTGGCCAGCCTTATTGAGGTGTCGGCAAAGAAAGGCACTCAAGAACTCACTCTCCAGGGCAAACTATCCGACCAGGTCGAGTGGCTTCCTGATTCAATCGGGAAGCTCACGAATCTGATCACGCTGGATTTATCAGAAAACAGGATCTCCGCCTTACCGGACACCATAGGGGCACTTTTGTCATTACAGACTCTGGATTTGCATGGGAACATGATCGGCGATTTGCCAGAAACCATTGGGAATCTGCTCAGCCTAATCCGTCTAGATCTCAGAGGAAACCAGTTAAAATCACTGCCTCCTACAATTTCAAGGTTGATTAATCTTCAAGAGCTGAACCTGAGCTCAAACGGGCTCTCGTCCCTCCCAGAGGCCATCGGGTCCCTCGTGAGTCTCGAGAAACTAATCATCGAGACTAATAATATTGAAGAAATCCCTCACACGATCAGCCAGTGTGCCTCTCTCAAGGAGCTTCGAGCAGATTATAACCGACTCAAGGCCCTTCCAGAGGCGGTGGGCCGTATAGCGTCTCTAGAGATTCTCACTGTGCGATATAATAACATTAAACAGCTGCCAACCACTATGTCGTCTCTGACAAAGTTGAAGGAGCTGGATGTCAGCTTCAATGAGCTGGAATCTGTTCCTGAGAGCCTGTGCTTTGCCACGTCACTTGTGAAGATGAACATAAGCAACAACTTTGCTGACCTGCAGTCCCTGCCAAGGTCCATCGGGAACCTTGAAAATCTTGAGGTGTTGGACATGAGCAATAATCAGATAAGGTTTTTGCCAGACTCTTTTAGAATGCTGACCGGGCTTCGTGTGTTGAATGTGGAGGGAAATCCTCTTGAAGTTCCCCCAAGGAATGTGATTGAGAGAGGGCCTCAGGTTAAACGTGTTTTATCTTTAGATGTTTTGTATGTCGTATTCTTTTTGATGTAATGGTGAAGGCTGACGTGAGATTTTTATTTCCTTCTTTTTTTTGTTTGTTTTTGCATATTCAGGCGATTGTTCAGTACATGGCCGAAAGTGTTGGTCAGAAGCAGGTCAAGTCACAGCCGGTCAAGCAAAAGAAATCGTGGGGGATTTGCTTCTTTTCAAAATCCAACAAACGCAAACGGGAAGGTCCCGACTATGGTAAAGCTTAGTAGAAAGAAGTCCAGAATGCGGAACATCAGATTCTTAGGTATAGCTGTTTCTCCATTTAAACTCATTTTTCTTTTTCGTTTTCATACACATAGTGGGTCTTGCAGTTTAGCATGTCAGCATGTGTATGCTATCTTTACTTCTGAATTAGACTGGTAGTGTTTAGATGCTAGGGTTGGTTTTAATTTTGTTCTGTTGGTGAGCTTATTATTGTTGTTTGCTGATGGAGCCTTGCTCTGATTCTCTCTCTCTCTCTCTCTCTCTCTCTCTCTCTCTCTCTCTCTCTCTCTCTCTCTTTTCTTTTTTAAATATCTATGACAGGAGATTAGAGTTAAATGGTTGACGGAGAAGTTTCTGATATTTGCCAAAAATTCACGAATCATGACAATATAGCTCTGATCCTTGCTCAGTATATCCTTAGTTCGTCATTTCTCGTTTCAAGTGTATTCCTTTGTACTTGTTTGCATCCACATTTTTCGATTCGGAGATCTGGAGAGCTGTACATTCATGTACGACCGGCTTTGACAAAGGGAGGTGTAACTATATTCCCACTGTTAGCTATTTTGTAAATTGCTTTGAGCTTCATTCATAATGTTATAAAGGGAGACTCTTCAATTTCATTCATTTAATTCGCGCACATTTGAAAAATTGGCAGTGTTTCATCTTGCAACTCTATTTGTGCACATTTGGTTTATGACATGTGATTTGTGGCTTTGAGGAGAACTCTATGTATAGGTGTAGGAGTGAGAGTTTTGGAGAAGAAGACATCAATTTAATTGGTCATATTTGTTATAATCTCTTTCTTTTCCTTATCATGAGATTTTTTCTCATCTTAAGATTTGAATTTGTGGAGCAAGAAATATTTACTTTATTAATTAAATATCTTATTTATTATGGATTTATGTCCAAAAGTAAATAAAGACAATAATTAATAAAATATTAAATTTCGATATCTACAAAATATATTACTTTTTTTTTTTCCTTAAAATATTTGGTTTTCTATTTGTGTCCTCTCAAATTGGCTCATATTTATATCTAGCTTGTTTATGTTTACATCAAAGTTGCAGGTAAACGTGTATAATACACACATACTTCTCTTCCATGCCCTCCCATGTTCTTTAATAATTCAATATATTAATTCAAAATGTATTAATTCAAGTTGATAGACCGACATATTTCAGAAGTTGATTTAACATAAATTTATGCTTTATATTGATATGTGTACTTATCTGTACTAATCTGATTTAATATTTAAGCTGGAGACTTATAATAAAATTATTTAACATTTTATTTTCTCAACTTCAGAAGTTTATTAAACATAAATTTATGCTTTATATTGATATATGTGCTTATCTGATTTAACATTGATGTTGGAGAATTATAATAAAATTATTTGATATTTTCTTTTCTTAACTTACGTTATATCACTTTTTTT